CATTTGAAAGTTAAATAAGGTGTGTATAATATATATAGTACAAATACTAGAATCCCCTAGTACAGTTTTTAAGCAATTGTTAGCAGATGTGAGTAGAATCTGGGGAAATAGTTTATTAAAAAAAAAAAAACTAAACACTGGTTAAAAAAAAAAAAGGGTGTTACCAAGATTTCTACTCTACCAGCTATAATACCAAGTCAGCTACATGCCATGTGTAAAACTATTCTCTTTAATAGGGGTTGGCAAACTTTTAAAGGGCCAGACAATAAATATTTTAAGACTTTGCAGGCCACACACAAGTTCTCAGAATATCTGATATGTAAATTAATGATCATAACAATTTCAATAAAACTTTAATTAAGGACACTGAAATTTTATGTATCACAAAATATCTTTTTTATTTTTTCAACCATTCATAAAAAAGGCAAAAGTCCATTCATGGCTCATGGGCTGTATGAAAACAGGTGGCAGGTTGTAATTTGTCAACTCCTTCTGTATAAAAACATACCTAGGCAAGACAACTGTCCTTCAGTTTCTACTCAAGAGTGATTCTACTCCTAAGTCCATTTCCCTTACAAACTCCCCCTTATATAAAAATATTCTTTGAGACATTTGTTAATTATACAATTATGTATGAAAATAGCCATTACATTTTCAGTTCCATAGTACTTTGTTAATTCCCTGGTTATGTGTAGTTTATCCATTTAAGTATCACAGATAAGCTTGTTAGAAATGATTAACATACTGTCTATTGTTGTTCCTAAGTGCTGTCAAGTTGATTCCAAATCATCGTGACCCTGTAAAGGATTTCTAAAGCTTATCTTTGTAGGAGCAGAAAGCCTCATCTTTTTCCCTTGGAGCACAGCTGGTGGGCTCAAATCTGCAAGCCTTGTGGTTCACATTCTAGTACTCAGCATATGGAGCCACACTTCCCCATACTGACTTTAATGGTAGAGTGTTGAATTAATCATGTATACTTGTAGTAATTACTGTGTCACGTATAAAATAGTTCTCAGGAACCAAACACTGTGAATAATTTTCAAAGCACAGTCTCTATACCAAACAGGCTACTTTATTAATAATGTTTTTCCCTTTCTTTTAATTGTATTATGCATGTCTCAGTTCATCAATCCTTATCAATATATACATTTGCTAGCTAATAACTGTTTCATCCAGAATTAAAAACTGATAAATATAAAAGCTTTATGAGTTCTCTTTTACCCCTTGTGGCATTAACCATTGAAAATATTGCCTTCAATTTTAGAATTTCAGGTGGGGAGGTCTGATTATCTTTTAATGATATGTTCAGGAAAATTAGCATTTATTGTTTGACACTGCTTAACTTTACTCCTAAATTCACTTTAAGGGCAGTTAACAGCAGTGTTCATTTTTAATGTTTCTTAATGAAACAGAAACCAGCATTAAAGCCTAAATTGTTAAGTGCCGTCTTTAAAATTTGAACATCTATATTTATCCAAAAATGCACAAAATACCAATTAAAAATATTCATGGGGAAATAAGACTCCATATAATCTGCTACCAAGGTTCTTCTTAACATGAAATAATTTTAAAAATAAACAACTCTTCCATTGTTATTTGAATGTTCCCAAAGGCACCAAATCTGACACTTAACTAAGAATCTGAGCTTTAAACCTCAACAATTTATGAAGCAGTCTGCATGCCTAATCTACACAATAAAAAGTCTGTGTCTTTTGTGGCAGTAATTCTAAGAACGTACGTCTGCTTCGGTTATCAGAACCTAAACTACAGTTTGAAACCTTTAGGAGTAACTACACATCTTATACCAAAACACCAGAAACTGTTTCACCTACAGACAAATTACAAATGCAGGTCTTATTGTGCACAGAATTTACTGAATTAGAACCTGAATTTTATAAGCACATCAGAGTGTGAGAGAACTTTTATAAATCAAAATATCACTGCAATGTCTGTATAGAAAGGACAACACTTTTCTAATGACTATGGAATATTTGCTACTTTTTGACTGGCTAGCAATTTTACCAGGCTGAAAATCTATTCTGAAGAGCATGGGATTCAATTTAGAGGCCTTTATCATGGATTTACAAAGTCAAAGTTGGAAGGAATTTAAGGGAAAATGTAACTCATTTATATGCTTAAGTTTCAACCAAGTCAGTTTTTAACTAGTGCTTTTTAATTATTGCCATTCTTTTATCTTAAAACACAAAACAAATGCAGGTGTTTGTTTATTAGGGGGCTTTCAAAAGTTTATAGAAAATGGATAGAAAAGAAAATTGAATTTTCCCACAAACTTTTCAATCCCTGAGTACGTCTAAGCTGTGCAGAAAAAATGCTCAACCTTCATGAGCTCCCATTTCAAAGTTCAGATTTAAAGCCTATCTGAATGTATTACATAGTAGAATTACTGTTTAACCTGTTTCCTCCAGTACTAACCTGAAATTAAAATTTTGCATCACTCAGTGCTGACTTTCAAAATGGGAATCATTGAGACACTAGAAATTTTAATCCACTTACAAAGCCAAAACACACAATACATAGTACAATTTTAAAAATCATATGAGTTTTCTCATGTATAAACGTGCCATCTTTTTAAATACCTGTTAGAAAAGATTCTGAAAACTCATTTCCTGGTGTGGTGCTGTACGGTAAGACTGCAAGGTCAGAGCTGAAACCCACTAGCTACTCCTTGGAAACACTACACAGGGTCACTATGTCACTATGATACAGAACCAGCTTGACAGCACTCACTACCACCGCCACCACCATGTAGTTGATGAAAGATTAATATTTTCTATTCAAGAAGTGTTCAGGGAAATTTATGCAGAAAAATTTAAGGCAAGAATTTTGAAGTAAGGTATCTCAGATACATTCTTAAGACTACAGCAACGAAGAAAATTTAGCAGGCTGGTTCTCTCCCTCAAATATTTAAAAATACAATCTTGTTGGACCACAGTATGTTTTTTAAATGAATACCTGTGTATGTATCAAATTCAGTGATTTTCATATATTGTCATTTTGGTCACACATTTCTGGTATCTGTTCAGCTCCCCAAGAAATTCACCCCTTTAGCAAACAATTTTAGTTCACACAAACATTAACCTATAGTCATGAAACCAGCTCATCTTGACATTTTGACTTATGAACTGATGATGGCACTCCACCCTCCTCGTCAAACACACAATCCAGAATCCTTCTCATTCACTGCTGTTCACAAAAACTCACCTGGTCTCTTTACTAGGAAATATAATTTGGGAAATAAATTCTGATAATGTAAGCCATAATTACAATTCTGTTAAAAATTCGTATTTCCCCTTAGTCATCTCTTTGAGCTGTAATATTTGGTTCAGTGGTTCCAGACTCTCTTTTTAAAACCATCTTCTCCCTTTGTACATAAATATCATCATACTCAGACCCCAAAATATTTGTCATGATGATGAATTTGTGATAATGAAAACAACAACAGCAAAACAGAAGACAAGAACCTTTATAATAGCAAGCTAGGAAGCAGTCCCTTTTGATTATAGGCATGCTAACTATATACATGGATTTGTCTGTCACTTCGGCATTAGTGGTATTTTAATCCAAACAAATATGGTAACTTGCTATGAACTATGAAACTGAGATCACTTATTCTATTAAGAGAACAAATGAGAAATATTCTCACTGTTAAAAGATGAAACAAGTATGGGACATCAGGCACTAATACTAGTTGTCAAAATTTACAAATATTTTAATTACATACACCCTAATTTTTAAAACAAAATAAAACAAACATATAGAAAAAAGAAACAGCTTCATTTTTTCCCAAGAAAATAACTTTTGAGTAGAGATGAAAAGGGTTAGACAAACATTAGACTTCTTTACAGTCCAAGGTGCAATGAAAATATTCAATAAAAAGAAATATAGAGGCAATCTTTTCTAGTGGCTGATACTCTACTAAACAATTATTAATAATAATAAAGTAGGGATGTTAATATCAGAGTTGTCATGTAACATTTTATTTCCGTAATTTTATTCATTCTGGTTACTTTAGGTAATAAACTCGTATTTTAACTAAGATAGGTTTAAACTAAAATTATTAAGGACCAAACTGTCTGTTTTGCCTGGTGATATGGAACTCTAAAAATACCCGCAGCAAACCCATGAAGCACCTAAACTGACCACACTGTGGTCTCAATATTTAATATATACAACAAAGTTTATATAAACAAAAAAGCAAGGTATTCACAAGAAGCTGCAGGAAAACTCAAGCAATTAACAAAAGCTGGTTTATAAATTAAAATATTGTAACCTATACATAATGTACAAAGTCAGGCATTTAAAAATGAACACTATGTCTCGTAAGAGTAAATTTTCACAAGCAAATACTGCTGCACAAATATTTGCTAATGCAAACGAATGAAATCTTAGTAAATTCTGTAATATTTTAATTCCAAAAGGTAAAACTTTTGGCACATTTCTTGAATGTTATAGAAACAAAGTTAACACCGGCAGAAAACATTCTAACCCTTGACATTTCTTTTGAAGTGTTATACCAGGAACAATTTCCTTAAGCTTTAGGCACAACAAATACAAATAGAAAAATGAACTATGAACACCTTTTATCACAAGTTCACAGCAGAAAATTAAAATAAAAAACTTCAATTTTACTTACTTAAAGTATTTTACAACAAATGCTTCATCAGAATATGCATGAGTTTAAGAAAGTCTGAAATAAGATGTATGTTTTTGTTTCCACATCTAAGATATTTGTATTTTGGATACCTATCATAGCAGCCAAGAAAATATTTTATAGGGATTATAAAAAGTAATCTTATAGTAAATGAACTTACAAAATTGAACTTTATAATAAGTCATTGCCCTCAGGGTTTGAAATGTTAACTGACTTGAAAAAAAAAACCCTCAGTTTCTTCTTTCGAAATTGTGCTATATTTTCGAAGTTGCTTTATCAAACAACAAAACCAGTGATGCTAAAAGAACTTCTATTTTCCCTTGAAATACTAAGCAGAATCTTCATGGCCTGGTGACCTCCAACGTGACTGTAGATTTTTTATGATAGAATTTGCCATGCTACCAAGTTTCTCATGCATTTCAAAGAGTTGGCTTCCTGAATAATTGTGGAGATCTTCTGAATTCAGTTGAAGAGCAAGTGAATTGATCTGTGCCACAAGATTTTTAGACAGTGGAGATTCTAAAGCAACAGGATCAATGAAAGCTAAAATAAAAACATCAAATTTAAATCAAACAGATAAAAATTAAGTGTATATATCTCCTTTGAAGTTAAAAAAAGTTCATATTCTTATTTAAGATTCAGATGAAGCTGGCAATTAAGATAAAAACAATTAGACACAATTTAAGTCAAATTGAGTTATTTCATCAGATACTTGACACACACACAAAAATGGTTCAAGTTAAACGAAAATTAACATCAAAAGCATAGTAAAATAACTGTTTCTTCAGGTAAGTAAGCTGAGCTCCTAATTAATGTTATTCAACATTATAAAACTATACCTGATGCAAGTTTTTCTTCTTCCAAAGAGGCAGATTTATTTTCTATTCCATTTAAAGCTTTTTCTGAAATATCAAAAACTGGAATTTCTTCTAGTCCACGAGACTTCACCTAAATCATTCATTCAAGTCAGTAAAGAATAAAAAGACAAGGACAAAGTTAAAGTTAACACTATGATGGTGGTGGCGATTATGTGCTGTGGAGTCGGTGCCTACTCATAGTGACCCTGTATAGCTAGGGCTTCCAAGGCTACAGGTATCTTTATAGGAGCAGAAAGCCTCATCTTTTGTCCATGAACAGCTGGCTGCTTGAACTGCTAACACTGAAGTTAGCAGCTGACTCTTAACCACTAAGCTACCTACCGGAGGCTCCTTAAAACAATGATGATGTTGTTGTTAAGTGCCACTGAGCCACTTCTGACCCATAGCGACCCTATATAGGGTTTCCTAGGAGCAGGTGGTGAGCTTGAACTGCTGACCTTGCAGTTCAAACGGCTTTGCAGTCTGGCGCATTAACCCACAGCGCCACACCAGGACTCCAAAACTGTGATGGTGGTGGTGTTTATGTGCTGTGGAGTCAGTTCCGACTCACAGCGACCCTGTACAGGGGTTTCTCTCGCCAAACAGCTGGTAGTTTCGAACTGCTGACCTTGTGGTTCACAGCCCGATTTGTAACCACTACGCTACCAAAGCTCCTTAAAACTATGATAAGTAGCACTAATACTGGAAAGGATTTTGTCATGATACAAAGAGGCTTCCAAAAGTTCATGAAAAATCAAATGGAAAAGACAGTGGAACTTTCGGTACAAACTTTGTGAAGCCTCCTCCTATGTTTCAAAGTCCATATGACTAATGTAATTATCTTAGCTAATATATTTAGAAAATTGTACAACAAAAAATAGCATTAGAAATTATATTTAGGAACTTGTTTGTGAAAGGAAACTCTAGATCTTCCCAGGGCCCATAAAGCACTGGCTGAGAAAATACCTAAAAACTAAAATCTTGGTCCATTAAGACTGGAAATCAAAAGATTTTGGGGGTGGGGAAGTATTGGTTAAAAAAAAACCAACCACCACTACAAAATCACAATTAAAATACAAAATTAAGGGCTTTAGAGAATACAGCAGGTGTTGAACGTCTTCTAGGAATTGGCATACTCTCTAGTACAGAACACTGGTTATAACGTAATACCCTATTTTCATTTATTAATCTGTTTTCACGAGAGTCTGTGAATCCTTATGAACCTACATTTAAATTTTTTGCATATATTTTTAATAGGAAAAAACCTAAGCTTTTATCATTACCTTGAAAAATAAGTCACAAAAGTGCTAGATTTTAATGAATGTCTGAATTCAAACATTAGGACTAGCAGCTATGGAAGAAAATACTAATTAATGGAAATGAAAGAGAACAGTAAAACAAGGGAACCTGAAGAACAGGGAATTTAAAAATATACCAGAGATACATTATATAAAAACAGTACCAAATAAACAACTTTGTGGGGTTACAAACTTGTTTTAAAAATGAGTTAATATTGATTAGGAGGAGAAAGGGGGAAACAAATATTCCAAGACTTTAAAATGAGTTCTATAAACTGCATTTCTGGAGCATTGATTTATACATGAGTTGTAATTAATATCTGCACGGATAATTTTTACCTGCTGCTCATGATATATTCTGAGAGCCTTTTTTACATTGGATACTTTCGGAGAACGGATAGGAAGTGTTTTTATTTCAGATGCTGTGAGAGTACTCAAATCACCAATCGTTTTTATATTTTTGGCTCTTATGAGTTGACCCAGGCCTCTTGCCCTGAAAATAGTAATGAAGGAAAAAAGACAAACATTATACAAAGATAATCTTGTTTATATTCTACTTGAGAATTTACCTATTTAAACTCAATCACAACTAAATTTATTTATAATTGTACTGTTGTTAAGTGCAGATGAGTTGGTTCCAACTCATACATAGCAGCCCTGTTTCCAAAAGCAACTGTTGGATTTGAACCAACCATGTGGTTAGCAGTCCAGTGCTTATCCTACAGTGCCATAATAGTGCAACATAAGTCCAAAATAGTCAATGGACTGCTGTTCAGTGTGATCAAGTTGATTCTGACTCACAGCAATCCTGCATAGGATTTACAAGGCTTTGGGAACAAAATCTTCACAGGAGCAAACAACCTCATCGTTCTCTGGGGGAGTGCCTGGCAGGCTTGAACTTCAGCCTTGTGGTTCACAGCCCAGTTCTTATCATATGGAGCCACTTCGCACCCAGTATAGGCCCACTAAGGAACTCAGTGAGTCCTGGTGTGGTACTGTGTGCTAATGCGTCAGACTGCAAAGTTGTTTGAAATGCAAGGTCAGTCAGTTACTCCATGGAAACCCTATATAGGGTCGCATTCGACTTGATGGCACTTAACAACAAGGAACTCTGAGGAACTTTGGCAGTGTAGTGGTTATGAATCAGGCTGTAAATCATAAGGTCAGCAGTTTGAAACAGGATAAAGACAAGACTTTCTGCTCCTGTAAAGACTTATAACCTTGGAAACTCTCGACACACCATCACCAGAGTGGATTACTAAGCAGTTAACAGTTCGAATCTATCAGTCTAAGATAAAAGATGAGTGAGGTGGAACCAATTAGACAACACACCACCACCATCCCCACTACAGCTAAGTTTGCACATGGGACAGGTACATGTATACTTAAAACTTGAATCTAATGTACATGCTTGGTTTATTGGTTAGCAATTCTAGTATATGACACTGTAGGATAATGTATTGGACCGCAAGGTCAATTTGACGCACAAATTGGTGGTTCAATTTCACCAGGCGAGGCTCCTTGGAAATCCTATACAGGGTCGCCATGAGTTGGGACCAACTCACCAGCTCTTTAACAATTCTAGTATAAAGTATACTGTCAGCATGCGACTGGGGGCAATGCCATATGACTAAAGCAAAGGAATGGTAGGATTAAGATTACAGATCGCTAGAGTCGAGCTGTTTGGGTACAAATAGTAAAGCCTCATGGTTCACATTATAATTACTTATTAGCTGTGAGCCCTTGGTGAACTAACTTTTGTACACTTCAGTTAATAAAGTGGAAATAATAATTGTGAGATGACTTCAGAGAGTTCACGCAAAAATAGAATTAAAAGACAATGAAATTATTTCACAAGCCTTTTGAACTCTTTTGGTATACTGTTATACGATTTATATTAGAATTAACCAAGGTAGTAAATGTAAAGATTTAGCATGTTGTTGTTGAGTGGCGCTGAGTCAATTTCGACCCACATCGACCCTGTAGAGGGTTTCCAAAGAGCAGCTAGTGAGCTTGAACCGGTGACCTTGCAGTCCAAATAGCGTTGCAGTCTGGCACATTAACCCACAGCGCCACACCCTGGCTAATAGCACACCAAAACATTAGAGAAAACCCAAAATATAAGAACTTGAACTGTATTTCTCTTAAATAGCGTCTTATTTTAAATGTTTTACTCTGAATTATATGAGTTTACATGGGAGAACATTAGCTTTAAATTCATCCTATCTTGTATCGTTTCATTGTCATGATTACAATGCCCTCCATGCATCAACCACCAAAGGGTATACCCCATAAGCCTGACCCCCAGTCATCAGCACACAAGTCCCTTCTCCCTCTCTGGGTCTACAGTCCCCAGCCACTCAATTTCTCCACACGTCTCTGCCTCCATCTGTGGTGTCACTGCTTCTCTGGGTAGGGTCTCGCACTCCGCTCTTCTCCCTTGATGGTTCTAGGGACCTCAGCTCTTGGACCGCATAGTAAATCACTGGCCTCCTTTTGCTACAAAACATCTACCTTTACATTTCCAACAGTCAGTACTGATAACAATTATTCACCATTGTACCACAGGGGACCTATCCCCATTCTCCTTTCATCAGTCCCGTCCAGACAGACTGGATACTACTCAATGAGGATTCTACCTTCCTCTGTACCCTCTGGATCTAGGCTCCCTCTTGAAAGCTTTAAGCCAGTCACTTCTTGCCTTTGTAGCTATCCCCGCCACATTTTGGGTAGCCAATGTCAAAAGCTGTCCATCCCTGTCTACTCTGTGTATGTAGGGGGTAGGAATGATCCACGCTGTAAAGATTTGTTCCCTTTTTTGAGCTATTACATCCATAAGTGTAGGTCAAGGTCATCAAATTGAATCAGATTATTTTTTCCCCCTCTTCTTTCTTCTTGTAGTTGAACTCTTAAAATAAGCATCTTGTATAAACCAGAAATAAACCTAAATATGCACTTACCACATGTTTGATGTAATTTGAGGTAAAATGATGTCAACAGGCGCCATGCAGTTGACCAAAGCAGGGTAAACACTTTCTGTTGGGCATGGCACAGATTCTTTAGCCATTTCTGTAATCTTGGAATAAATTTGCAAAATGATTAAACAGAGATCACCTGACTGAACATGAAAATATAATGTTACATGAAAACTAAAGCACTTCTTACTAAACACTTCTTTGAGCTCTTAAATTTAGGGCTACGTGATCCTGGGGACAGAAATCCTTTGGCTGAAGTGGTATTACGCTAGATAGGAGAGAAAAAAAACTCACTCAGAACCCTAGTAACTACAATTTTACAATTAAATGTTCACAAGACTAATAATTCTTTTAAAATTTCAGAAGATGTAAAAGACTGGAGCAAACTACTGCCTAATCTATTACTTGTCAGATTAACATTGCTTCTTAACCACCACTTGTGCCTGCTTAACATGTAGCAAACAAGATAATATATCTAAAAAAAATTTTGCTTCTGAAATAGCTAAAGGCAAATAACTCACATGCAACTGGTATGTGCTTCTACAAATGTATCTGTATTTTAAAGCCCATGGCTTACCTTAGGTTGTGCAGTAGGTGAACTTTTAATACTTTTTACTAAGGGAGAACTATTCGAAGAATGGGACCTAACAATAGAGCAGCGCCTATCAATGTCATCTGCCAGTCCTGCTTGGTATATTGGATCTGCAAAGGAGACACGGCGAACCTGAAAACACAGGTTTTTGGTTTTTTCATTAAAACAAACAAACAAAGTCCTTTTAAAAAACACCACAAATTCTCACTATGAGGCTAGCTAAAAATAGAATGCAGGTTTGGAAACTTTATTTCACAAACGATCAACAAACAAGCATAATTGCTCTTCCAAGTAACTGTTTTCAGTTAATACTATTCAACACCATGGCTCAATACCTTTATCTTTTTTTCTAACCTGTCCCTGCAAAATCCAGCACAAAAGGTTTAGAAATAAGGGACAACAGTAGAAACTTACATGAAAATGTATATGGCAAATAAAACTGTAATTTTTTCCTAAAAATCTTATTTGCTTACTATGTACACTGATGGGAAAGCACTGTATTAAACATGTATAAACAGTACAACTGGCAGCTGGTATATCTAAGTCTGCTCTGAGCTCTCAGGACAGCAGTAAAGTTGCAGCAACTGGGTGTCAATTTAGTCTTTCTTGTCTCCAGAGTCTGAAGTCATTTGGGCCTCTTTTAAAATCCTGGTATGGCTCTGTAGGATAAACATTGGACTGTTTAACCACAAGGTTGGCAGTTCAAACCCACAAGGTGCTTCTCAGGAACCATATACAGGGTCGCTATGAGGCAATTTGATGACACTTAACAAACGTCTACTTACCATTAAATATGTATTTAAATGTCTCCAAATCTTAACTCCAAATGAGTGAGCATTTTGCTACAGAAATCTATATAACCTGTTGTTTTGCTGCCTAAACATAGTTAACAATCTCAAGTATGAGGGGAAGTCTGTAAGTACTGCTACTAGATTTACAGCTCATACACTGGTTCGCTCTAAACAAAATGTTTTTAAACATATCTGTGTTCAGCAGATGGTTACAGAAAAATTCTCTCTGATTACAGGTGTCTTAGTCTTGTTTTTCAGAAAACATCAAAAAGAGAGGACACTAAAAACGTATGAAGATCAACTAGCTCAAAGATGTGATGATCTATCTTTTAAGCAAGATTAAAGCTAATTAAGACAATTTTATGGAATTAATTGAAACGAATCTCGGGTTCAGCAATGATTCAAAAACCAAGTGGCTTCTGAGAGGATCTGCTGGGCATAGAGGAGACCTTAGACAGTTATGGCGACTATTTTTACGGATTCTAAAAGGGATAATCTTGATTGAGTCTCTTAGAGGACACAAGAGAAGTTTATTAGAGGTTTATTAGAAAGAAGACTGAAAAAAATGGAAAACTGCATTGGTGAGAGAAAGGCCATAAATGTTGTGCTGAGGAATTTTTATCCATCAGAATGCACTTGTTCATTCTTGGAGGGTAGCAAGGACTGTCACAGGAGAATTTTGTTAGGAAACCTTATCTCATCTACCCGATGTAAAGGACCTTGTCCTTGCAGATTTTTCTGTTGCCCCAACTCAAATAATATTGAAAAGGAAAGTGAGCTGAGCTCCTCAAGGATGCCAAAACATCATTTTGGTGTTATGTAAAAATTTCAGGAAAGGGTTAGAGATGCAAACATGGCCTTCAGAAGTATATTGATCTAGACAATATTACACCTTTTCTGAAGAGTTCAAACACAGGTTGAGGTCATGCACCTTTTCCTTTATTTTTTCATTTAACAAATTATGTTCAAGATACAGTGTCAGGCACTACAGCAGATGCACAAAAAACATGTCTGTTTTCTAATCTAAAATAGCTATAGTTAAATATGGAGTTCTAGTGCGGCACTGTAGGATAAGTACTGGACCGCTACTGCTAACCACAAGATTGGCAGTTCCAACCCACCACCCATCACCTGCTCCTGGGAAACACTATATTGTTGATATGAACTGGAACCAACTCGATGGCACTTAACATCACAGTTTAAAATAGAAGAGAATTTACACTAAATATAAATAAATCACATCTAGCAATCAACAAAGGAACCACCTAAAGAGATTGTATTACTGTATGGCAAAAATACAAGGTGATGTCAGAAAGTTTGTAGAGAAATGGAATTTGAAGATACTGGAATTTTTCCATGAACTTTCTAAAGCCCTCTCCTATTCCAACTAAATGTGGCTCTACTTAAATATTCAGCCTCAATCCTCCCCACCCCACCAAAATACCTTGTTAATAGGTGATGGGATCTCCTCTTCTTGTGGACGTTTTTGTCCTCTCTTTAAAATGCTAGTGGAAGGAGAAGCCAGAGGAGACCAGACGCAACGCGTCTGCAGACCACTTGGACTGTCATTCACGGACACAAGAGAAGTATCAAGGTCCTTTAATTTTTGAGGAGATAAATTATCTTCAGTTATCAGTTCAGAGATAGTAGTTTCAGATGTTAAAGACTGTAGTGGTACCTCCACCTTCTCTTCAGTATGGTGAGCTTCCTCCAAAACCTCATTATCTTTGCCAACTATCACTTGATTGTCATGGAATTTTGTTTCTTCAGCTTTATTAAGTTCAGTATTTGTTTCAGTTTTATTAGCATTAATCCTTCCTTCTTCAGTGCTCATATCAAGTACGCCAGGAACAAAGTTGCCAATTTCTGTGTTCAATCTCTCTGTTGCAGCTTCTTCCGGCTTAGAGGTTTTGATAGTTTTATTTCCAGCTGCTGTTTCACTGAAATGATCAGTTGCAGCATTCACTTCACCTATTACTGTTTCTTCACAATTCTCCATTTCAACATTCACTCCTTCAAATGAGCCTAGATCAGGTTTATCACTCAGTACATCTGGTTTCCCAACTGTTGTTGGTTCAGAAATCTCAGTTTGGACAATCTCTCTAATTGGTGTGATAGTATCAGAATAACCATTTCCTGAGTTCAATTCCTCAACTGCTCTGTCAGCATTCAGTTTTTCAGTTATATCGGTTTCACATTTATCCCTTCCTTCATTATTTTCTTCTGTTGCCTTTTCTTCAGAAACATCAGTTTTGACACTCTCTTGTTCTGAGAAACTAGTTAGAGATTTATTACTTTCTGGATCCAATTCCATAACTTCTACTTCCTCTAGACTGGATTCTTTCACATGACATGCATTTGCTTCAACATTAAGGATGCTCTCTAACTCTGGTTCCTTTTTCAGGATACCTTCTGCTTTTTCTTTACTCTCCAAAGAACTTTCTTGAGAAACATCTGTAGAATCAGCTGCAGCTGTTTTAAAGTTCCTATTAGATGGTTCTTGACTTTCAAGAGATACTTCTTTACTGGAATCCATGCCACATGTTTCTTCTTTAAAATGATCTATTTCAGTAGGAAGATAATCTTGAATAGCATCTTCTTTCAACACAGTTTCAGATACAATTAATGAATCATTAGTACCAATCTCCTTGAAATTCACAGTATGATGCTCATCTGAAAGTTTAACTTCTGAACATACATTCACTTTAGACATTTCTGATACAGTAACAGGTGGCAAATCTGTCATTTTTGTTTCGCTGACCTTCGCATCATCATTTTCTGTGTTCTTTAACCCAATGAATGGTTTTTCTTGAGGCTGTGATTTTTCTCCACAGCAATCGCAACCTTTTGATCTTCTTACCCTCTTACTTCTCTTATGTTGGCATTCAAGAGCTTGGAGAGCTTTTTCAGAAGGCAAGGAAGTATCTGATGTCCCTGTTCTTGAGGATTCTCCTACATTATTTTCTGAAGAATCTCGTTTATGCAATCTCTTATTGGCATTTCTAGTTCTTAGATTCGACTCTGGCACAAGTGGACTTGTAAAGGTATATTCTGCACTTTTGTTAGTTTTACTTTTTTCCTCAGATGCATTTGGTGCATCGTCTTCTAACAAATCTGAAGATACAGTAGAATTCTGAACAGTTACAGTACTGCTTTCATCTTTTGCATCACAAGTTTTAGATATGTCTACTTCAGAATTTATACTGTCATGTGTCAGATTTTCAACTTTTACACATTCCTGTTTTACAATCTTTTCTTGATCTTCATTGTCAACACTGTCATTGTTTGTGTTTTTACATTTTCCAGACCTCTTCTTTTTAGAACCTTCTTCTTTTGCCTCAGAACTATCAGATTCTGAGTTTTCAATGCTGGAAAGCAGGCCCTGGGATGCTCTTCTTGTTTGATACCGAGTACGTCCTCTTCTAGGGGTCTCAGAAGACTTATCTGTAGTGTCCTGGACACCATCTCCTTCCGACTTAATATTCTCAAGGTCTGACTTTCTTCTATTTTGGTCAATTTCAGGGTTAGTGCTAGTTACCCCCAGAGTTTCCTCATTTATATTATTTCCTTTTTCAATTAAATGTTCTTGTACAGTTTGTTCAGAAATCAGTTGGTGATTTGGTAACATATCTTTTGTTTGCAACGGACTCTTTTGAAGAATCTTTTCTTCTTCCTTACTTTGTTCCTTTCTTTGGTGATTGTTTTCCATATCTTGGCTATCATGGGTAGATTCTGCTATTTCTGAACGTCGCCTTAAAGACCGTCTAAGAGTTTTCTGAGGAGTGACTGGAACTTGACGATCTTCATTTGCCATTTGATCTGCTGGTATTATTGTTGGAGGCGTGTTTTCTTTGGATTCCAAACTGATACCTAAATTTTTCTCTTCTATATTATTTTCTAGTACTACAGTATTTTCTACTGTTGGCTTAAGCTTAGTATCCTCACATTGTACTGTAGATTCAGAAAGACAAGCTTGATTATCTGTTGCACAGTCTGTTTGCTTCAGCAAACCAGGTGAGTTATTTTCTAAAGCCATCACGCCATCAGTAGATTCCTGAGTATTTGTCTCCTGTTCAGACCTCAATAAGGGCTTAGACCTTTTATTTCCTGTTTGTTCAGTTTTACCTGATCTTCGACCTGACCTCTTAACTCCTCCATTCACTGCTTTTTCAGAGTCAGATTTTGAAGCAGTCATTTCCCTTTTCTTTGTTTTTGGTGGAGTATCTGTTTTTGTTGTGATCTCTTGGTTATTCTTCATTGAAATGGTTGATGACATATTATTCAAGGGAGATGGACTAAAAGGCCTATTTTCTGAACCATCGAACTTCTCCAGGGTAATGAAGGTTTGCCTTCGGCTTATAGGTTGTTGAGTTCCAGAAATACTGGCATTGGAAGCTGAACTACGTGCATCTTTAATTGAAGGATTCTTGGATGAAAGTGAAGATTTTTTTCTGGAATCATTATTATTGCTCAGTATTTCCTGACTGGTTTCTTCCAAAGAACCATACTCCTTATTTGAAAAGGAAGCCTTTTGAAGACATTGATCCACACCACAGTTTTCGATGACATCTTGAGGAATGATATCACTATCCTTTTGTTCTTCCTACAAAGAAATGCATATATAAGTTAATCAGCAAATACAGTCAACAATCAAGGACTTTCAGCATGATGTAATGCTCCAAAGTTACTAGTATATACCTATTAACTTGTGTTAATTTGAAATATGCAAAAGCCACACAAATTAACTATGGGTATGTATGTATGCAACACACACACATACACAGTGGGAGTTAAGAAATTATAAACCTAAAAATTATTAAGATAAAAATCAACAAGTATTAATCATTCTACAATTTAAGAAATTACATAATGAAAGGATGATAATGAAAACTTCAATATATAGTGTACCTTAATCTTCATTTTGCAATCTTCCTTTTGTTTTTCAGTCAGAATCAGAACTTCCCTGAAATAATTGTATCAATTTTAATTACTTAAATATAAGAAAACCAATTAAGAAAATTTAAATGGTTGCCATACTTACATAGACTCTTCCTGACTATACTGAGAAAATAAGGTATCTTGTGAAACATCCAGATTATTATACATGGCAGGAATATCACTCCTGGAAAAGATTTTAGATACAATTAACTTCAAAATTTGAAGACTATTCCTACATTAGACAATAAACTTATCTGATCACCAATGTGCCTTCTAAAGAAAAAATACAGAGTCAAGATTTAGATGCTTTATTTCCATGTGAAAATATCTTCCCAATGGCCCCCTCACCCGAGTAAAGAAACTCAGTTCAGAAATGTCTGGTACCGTACTAACTATACATTATGATAAGCTAACATCTTTATATGTGTTAAGGCCTCATTTCTAAAGGCAAATTTATAGTTTGTTGCATGAAATCTAAGTGTGAATACAGAATGTTCAATTCAAAATAAAAGGCTTACAAACCTCTTTGTTTTGAGTACTTCTTTCTGATGTTCAGTTAGTATTCTTTCCTTTGCTTCTTTTCCTTCTGGAGGTATAAACACAAAGTCAGTAGACTTTTCTTCTTCCAAAAGAATTTCATTCTTGCTTTTTGTAGATAAAGATTCAAATTTCAACTGCAGATTTAAAAAAGTAAATGTTCATTTGATTATCCAAAGTATTTTCTAATACTTCAATTTGTTTTCTAATTGTGACTTGGATGTTTCGAGTTTAATAAGCCTATGCAATGTATCACGTTAACAAACAGAACAATGTTACCACAGTTTTCTATCTAATAAATAATATGGGGGGGTGGGGAGGAGAGCTGTAACAGACTTTTTAAAAAGCAGGAAAGTTCATGCCTACCTACAAAGCATGGGCATATACAAGGAGACATCAAAAAGTTTGTGGAAAAATTCCATGATCTTTTCATTTCACTTCTCCATGAACTTCTTGAAATTCTCTCATGTTTTTTAAGGTCAATACATGGAAATCAATTTAACTAGTTTGGCAGGAGAATGTAATATATCCAACTCTCAAGATAAAGCATGACTAGTCAAGTATAATACATGAGTGTATCAATAACATTGGTATTATGTTATCATCAGAAATTTTCAATGCAACTAGCACTGCCTCATTCTACTTGAAAGTGGCTAAAAAAATATGAGAGAATTTTCCTTAAAATAACCTTTTTTCCACCAGGGCAGGGTGCCATGATTCTAGAATATTCCTTACTGTTGTTAAGTGCTGTCCAATTGGTTCTGACTCATAGCAAACCTGCATAGGATTTCTGAGAAGCACCTGGTGTGTTTGAATCGTCGATTTTGTGTTCAAACCAATCTTGTAGTCCAGTGCTTTATGCTACAGTGCCATTCTAGGGCTCTGAATACTCCTTATTGGAGATCAACAAAGAAAATAACCTATTGCTGTCTGTCACTACTCATCTGTCAGTCTGTTATATGATAGTGGTTTATGTTTTGCTATAATGCTGAAAGCTATGCCACTAGTATTTAAAATACCACCTGAGTCACTCTGTGGTGGGCAACTTTCCACATAGCTGCAAGTCTTAGGCTAGAAAGAAAAGGCCTACTGATCTACTTGCAAAAATTAGCTGATGAAAATTGTATGGAACATAACAAAGTAGTTATCTATTCTGGGTGCTAGAAGATGAGTCCTCATAACATAAGGTTAGAAAGCACTCAAAACACATACTGCTTTCAACAAAGCAGATTGTCAATCAAATAAATGGTGCAAAACAGAGCAATGTTTTTTTCTGCTGCACATGCGATTGTCATGAGTTAGACCCAACTTGATCCAATTAATAACATTATTGCCTAAAAACATGTGAACTAGTAAAATATTTAGTTTTAGATTTAGATTAAAACCGTGTTTCATGTAGATTCTATTTTTTTCTATTCTTAACGACAACAAATATGCATCGCTCTGTTGTGGACAGGGTCACTATGGATAAGAACAGATTCAAAGGCACCTAACACCACCACCAATACACAGATTTAACTTAACTTTAAAGGAATCATCTCTCAAGAACTCCAGATTTCCAGGCTTTCCTAAGTCTTTCTAGACTAAGAGCTGCTACTCCCTTGCAATCTCATCTTTACTTAGCCTTTTACATCTTTTACTTCCAAATAAAACAAGCTAACATTTATTTTTAAAGTTCTAATAATATACATAATCTGGAAAAACATACTTTGGCTGATGGTTTTATATTTTCTTTTGTATCCTTTTTCTGTGCCAAAAGGGAGTCTCTTTTTCCACTTGATTTTATTTCCATGCCACTTATCTTCACATTTAACTGTGAGTTTTCTGTCTTTTATATTAAAAAGAATAAAAAAATTCGTAAGTGCAAATTTCTAGATTAAGCTTATGAACATCATGTCAAACACCGGAGCTATGTAATAAAATAACAAATTGGTTTTATTAGAAAAAAAACTAAGAGAAAACTAAAACCTTAAAACATTTCATGTTGAATAATACAGTGAAGTTAAAAACACAAATAACAGAATACAGTAACACAAGCACATTTTCTCTCACAATATGAACATGACTTTTACAAGCCAAATTACATTTGAATCAACAAAATCATCTAAAGGATCAAACCAAATAAAAAACAACAGTAATTAGCTAACTATATCCCATCCACCTGTTACCTAATAGAAAGTTTTAAGGACGCTCCACTGCATGGATAATACACGTACTTTTATTCCTCAAAACTTCCAAATTTTCATAGAGTATTATTCACCAAAGTAACTTTGTTCCTAATAGATGGTATGATAGCAGAGAACATTTTTCTGATGGAAGGAATAATAAAGTCCATTGAAAAGTGAAAATAAAGGATAGACCTAGCTTAGAGATGTACTAGTAACTATTATTTCCATATTAACTAATACTTAAGCATGTATTTCAATAACTATAACCTTTGCAAAACAGTACATGAGATACCTTAGTATAAAATTAAACAAAAACCACGTTAAACTTACTGAATCTGAATATGGTCCACTAGATTCACCCATAGTTTCAACATTTTCCAAACCAGGCAACAGAAGCAGAAATTTTTGTTTTGCTTGTCTTAGTACTGATCTGTTTAAAAATGAAAAAAAAAAAAAATATATATATATATACACATAAAATATATACATCTTTTAGTCATGTAGTACTTCATAATTACTGATCACACATAAAAAGATAAAAAGATTATTACTCAAAGTAATCACTTGGAAGCAATTAACTACATCTTGCTATAAAAATGTTTTGTACCCACCCCCCCAAAAAAACCATACTATGTACACACAAATCTAGAAGAAATTACATATAAAATCTGAAGTTGTTTCTAAATTTTTTAGAATTTCTAAAGTTTTATGATGAAAAAGTTTCAAATAAAATTATGATATTACATTACACATCATCTAGTTTGAAAGATCATCAATGATCTGTCCTCTTTGCTTTATCTATTAAGGATAGTGGGCAATTTAAATGACTTTTTTTAAATTCCTAAATTCAAGGTTAACTTCAGTGAAGAGCATGTGACGTTTATTATCACGCATGCCAAATAATAATACTTCAACTAAGAAATCCTCTGTAATAATTCTCCTAAGACAATTTTGTTGAAACCAAAATATCAACTTAAATTAATGTAACAGAATAGTGCATGAGTTTTGTTGTTAACATACTTTAACTCTTCAGGATAAATTAACATTGGCACTTTAGCAAATGTGGAATTCCAGAAATGAGCACTCTGTTTTTTAATCTGTTTGTTCTTGTGTACAAACATTATGCATAATAATGGGGAGAGCTGTTCAAGAAGTTCACTGTCATAAGCTCCACTGTAGCTGGACTGCAGACAAGTAATAGTTTCTCCTAGTAGCTTTTCTAACTAGAAAAAAGGAAGAATTATAGATTGTTAGGGTAACTTAGATCATTACTTTTAAAATAAGAAACAACAAAAGCACAAATCATACTAAACACAAAACCACAAAACATACTATTTCGATTTTTCTAATTCAAAGGATTTTCAGAAAGCCACCATCCACCTTTACATATATATATTTCCTCTTTAAAAGCCAACAAATTACCAAGTAAACTTTAAAGCATCATTAAATTCTTTGGATGAGTGCAACTCATGCTCCCACATTAAGAATAAATTAAAATACGTCATTTGATAATAAAGCAGAGTTATGTCAAAACCTAACATTTTGTAAGTCCTAGCTTTCAAAAAAAAAAGTGACAGTATGTGTATTTTTACCTTGTTGTTCAGACAACTATATACTTTAGGTACTTCATCAGGCCTGCAAGAGGTAAAAACACATAAAATGTAGCACAAATTATATTTCATAAAATTGAAAACTACGTAGCAAGATAAACCTAAAAATCTGTACTAGTATTACTAATACCAGTGACTTCACAAAGTTCAGGGAGAGATGCAATTAAAAAAAAAAAAATTGCTGCTGTTTTATCGATCACTGCTAGCTTTGGGATAAGCACTGGACTGTGAACCACAAGGTCGGCAGTTCAAGTCCACCTCAGAAACCCTGTAGAGGATTGCTATGTGTAGGAACCAGCTTGATGTATTAACAAACGAGCTTCTCAAGGTTGATTGTTGGGAAATAAGATCTATCTCTAGAGTAGCCTCAAACCTCCTAGGACTCCAAAACCAGTTGCCGACACGTCAATACTGATTCAGGGTGACCTTATGGGTCAGAGTTCAACTGTGCTTCACAGGATTTCTAAACAGTTGATTTTCCAGCCTCTGGGTGGACTCAAATTCCCAACCATTAAGTTAGCAGATGAGCAAGTGAAGCTTTATACCACCCAGATAATTCACAATTTAAAAAGAAATGCAAATTAATATACAGATTTGCAGGATCCTGAAATTTAAATGTGCAGAAGGAGCTCTGGTTGTGTAGTGGTTACGAATCAGGCTGCAAACTGCAAGGTCAACAGTTTGAAACTACCAGCTGCTCCGCAGGAGAAAGATGAGGCTTTCTGCTCCTGTAAAGATTTACAGCCTTGGAAACCCTGGTCAGGGTCTCTATGGGTCGGAACCGACTCGACGGCACTTAACAACAACTCTTTGAAACAATTTCATTTAGTCACATTATTTCTGCAAAATAATGGCAAATGTGACCAATTTACGTACAATAAAGTTCAATGGCAATACTATTATGTCATGAAAGAAAAAGCTTTAAAAGAAACCATGCCTACCAACAGGAAGCTGAATTAAAAATGTAATGGGACCGCCTAAGACAGGCAGCGTCCCTTAAACAAATAATAAATAAGGGGGAATCTGATGCAGACCATGCAGACCCGGTCAGGAGTACAAGTCCCTGTGGGCCCAAGCGTTGCTGACCGTCCAAACCATAGACTCTAAGGATCAGACTTTAGCCAGCTAGCAGACATAGCAAAATGTCCCTTCCCTTATCTGATTATTCAGTTATGCTGGTTAGTAATTCCATACATGAACCCTGGATACCCACAGATAAATGTAAAAACCTTCCCTAAAAGCCGAGACTGTAAATTCCAAAAAGGCAAAGTTTTCCCCCCCAAAAAAGCTAAAGAGGATAGAGAGAAACTCTGTTAACTGATGGTATGTGGAGGGGATTATAATCAATGTAATGAAACAAGGTATATGAATGTTTGAATGTGAAACCGATGATGTGCCCTGAAAACTTTCACTCAATCCACAATAAAAACCTTAAAAAAAAAATTTAATGGGATCCTATTATAGACATTTTTGGGGTCATGGTGTCACTGTAGGATAAGCACTCGACCACAAGGCCTGTTTGAAACACAAGGTCAGCAGTTCAAGCTCACCAGGTACAATTCGGAAACCCTATACAGGGTCTCTATGCGTTGGTACTGACGCGACAGCACCTAATAACAATTTCAGATATTTAGGAGACCTGATGTCACAACAGTTAATCACTCACTTGACTGCTAACCAAAAGGCTGGCAGCTCAAATCTATCCAATGCCTCCATGGGAAAAGACCTGGTGATCTACTTCCAAAAAGCTTCCTAGCAAACTATGGGCCAATTCTACTCTCTCACACTGGGTCACTTAATTGATACTGATTCAACAGCAGACAATGTTATTGTTATTGTTAAGTGCCATCCAAGTCGATTCTGACTCATAACGACCCTGTATAGTTTCCAAGGAGCAGGTGGTGGATTTGAACTGCCGACCTTGAGGTTAGCAGTTCAGTACTTATCCTACAGCACTATACAGGACTCATCATTATTAATAACCAGATATTTACGTAAAGTCTGACATTCTGATATATATGGTAAGAGATATATAATGTATTAAAAGTCATACCAACAGTTAATTGCAGAGTAACATGTCAAATACGTTTTCAGACATTTTATAATATTTACTATGATGAATAAGCAATGTGCTAAATTGCAATTTCTACATTGTAATTGTGTACTCTGGCAATGATCTTTTCTATAGATGCACATTTAAACATAGTCAACATTAAATTGTAAAGATCGTAACAAAACAGCTTCTGTTAGGAAAACCACAATCTACTGTAAAATGCATTAATTTAAGAAAATACTTACTTTGAGTTTTCATATAATAATGCCAAGGGTCTTGCCAAAGTTGCAAATATTTTTCGGATCATAGAAGGCAAAGAAATATGTCCAAGTACATTGGAGAGAATGCTGATGACTGAATTGCCAATAGCAAGGAGGGTATCAGAATGGACTTCCTTGTAGCTCAGAGTATGGAAAGAATACATCACTTTTACAATAAGTTTAAATAAAGAAGCCAACTTTCCTAGGGGTTCCTTCTTCTTTTTGGCCCAATCTGAAGATGTCTGAGGTGCTAAGATAAAGATGAATTTAGTAAAAACTCTTAAAAGTAAAGAATAGTTTCACTGTTTCCCTTGAGAATGTATTACCATATATATGAATGATAGCTATGTGTTTTGCAGAATGACACCCCAAAATAAACCTCAAAATTTCATTATATGTATGTATTAGAAAATTAATTTGGAATGCACAATCATAGAGAGGACAATTATTTGGTAGAAGTATAATAAAATTTAAACAAAGCCAAAAACTGAGTTGTTTCTCTAATAAACCATTAAATACATTTAAAGTTTTTTTTATTTCTCAGAATTTCAACTCACAGCAACCCTATAGGATAGAATACAACTGACTCTATAGTGTTTATAAGGTTGTAAATGACAATTAAAAAAAAATACTTACATTTAACTTTAGGTTGATGTTTAATATTATATGGTGAGAAGTCGATGCAATCAACCATTACACTAATAACAGAAATGAGTCTATCCAAAAATAACAAATTCTAGAGAAAAAAATATTAAGCATTAATATTAGAAACTTTAACAATAACTCTGGCATAAGTTTTCAGCTATAGTAAGCAACCCACAAACAGACTAAGATATTTACATCCAGGTTATTTATACCACATTATCACACATTTCTCATTTAACTTCTGTATACCAAACTTTGTTTCTCAACCTTTAAGGAAAATAGTTCAACCAGTAAGTTGAGAATGGAAGTACTAAGTATGTAATTGGATTATTTTACAAAATTCTTAGAAATTATAAAAGGAAAATCTGTTTTAATGCATTCAGTGAAAACAAAACCAAAATGACACAAAAAGTTGTTAAAACACCCATGCTCCTTTTCCTCCAACTTTTCCCAACCCAATTCAAAGATCAATTTGAAATAACAAATGTACAAAAAAGGATAAAGGTTTCAAATAGCCAAAACATTATTGCAGAATAGCAAAGCTTTACCAATAGCAATCTCAAAGCATACTAAACAGCCGCAGAAATCCAAACAGCTTGGTACTAGTTCAATGACACAGGTATATGGACAAATGGACTCTAATTGGGAAGTCAGAAGTAAATCTATTTAGCTCATTTCTGAAAAGGAGTTAAAAGTCAATTCAATGTAAAAGAATACGCCTCATTAATAAATGGTACTGGTAAAATTGAATATTCATTTCAGAAAAATATAGTCCATACCTCACATAATACACAAACTTATTCAAAATGGATCAAAGAACTAAAAGTTAAAGCTATAAAACTCTAATAAAGTTCGCAAAAGATAACTTGCTGTTTAGTGCAGCCGAGTTAGTCTAACTCATAATTGGGGGGTGGGGGGTGGGGGTAGGGGTGAAGCATGCACAATTCAAATCAATTAAAACAGGGTTCTTGTCCTTAAGGAAATTACAGTAGTCTAGTATGGAAATTCAGTATTACACAGATTCTTAAAGTTGTGGGAAATGCCTTGAAGGTCAGGAACAGAGGATTATTAGAGAGAATATGAGACTGGTGTGGCACTGTGGGTTAATGCACTGGACTACAAAGTCGGTTTGAACCACAAGGTTGGGAGTTCAAGCTCACCAGGCACTCATCGAAACCTTATACAGGGTTTCTGTGGATCAGAATCGACTTGTACTTAACCATAATAATAATAATGGGGGGAGCTTGAACGTCAACCTTGCAGTTAGCAATTCAGTGCTTAACACGACAATGCCACACAAGGATACCAGAACACAATATAAGAACAAAACTATGCGATGTAATTTTTTTAAAGATAGTTTATCAAACATAACTATATATGCATAAACAACAGAAGACATAATAGCTGGGACCTCCTAAAAAATAATATTGATGACTTATCAAAAAACATTACCAACAGTAAAAGGAGATATACACACAGGGGAAAACATCTAAGAACAACATCTGTTAGGGTCTAATCTCTAAAACTTCAAAACAACAACAAAGACAAAAAAAAAAAAAATCCTACTAAAAATAGGTAAAGGACATAAACAGACCATCAAAGAGAACATTCAGAAAACCAACACACACATGAAAAGAGGTGAAAATCAAAATTGCAGCGAAATACCATGTGAAGTACCATCAAGTTGGTTCCAACCCATAGCAACCCTGTATAAGGGTTTCCAAGGAGAAGCTGGTGAGCTTGAACTGCGGCAGTTCACAACAACCACAACTTTTGCAAGGGTGAGATGGGTAGCATGTATTAAAATCAAACCAACAATCAACTTCCGGTAAAGATGGCTGACTAGGCATATACTCTACATAAACGAGAGACCAAATGAACAGACACAGATGAAAATCCTGGAACCTTGAAATTCAGAGGAATAGTTAAAGCATGGATTAAGTGCTTGCTGGAAGTAATAACTGAGCAGGGACAGCTGACTGGTTAACAGAAGCCAGACAAATCACGACCATCTTGACATTTGTGAGCAGCTTTGGCATCAGATGGTGGCCTGGCAGAGCAGACTCACACAGGAAAATTCCTTATTTTTCACTATTTTCCTCTAGTGACCAGAGGTGTGGCCAACTCCAACCGCCATCCATCCCCCCTGAACAGACTCTGCTCTCTCAACTGAGAACGTGAGGTGGAAGGTGGCTGTGTGGCTTTGGTGATTAGATTCTGGCACACTAGGTTCCAGACCTACAGAACCACAGAGCCACCAGAAAAACACTGAGGTTGTTGTTAGGTGACATTGAGTCAGTACTGACTCAGCAATCCTATGCACAAAAAATGTAACACTTCCCGGCCCTGGGCCAACTTCACAATTATTGCTATGCCTGAGCCCATCACTGCCACCACCGTACTAATCCATTTCATTGGGGGTCTTCGTCTTTATCTCCGACCCTCTACTTTACCACACAATATCCTTCTCTGGTGATTGGAAACTCCTGATAATATGTCCAAAGTATGAAAGGCAAAGTTTGGCCATCCTGACTTCCAGGGAACACTGTGGCTGTACTTCTAACACAAGATCTACTGGTTCTTTCAGCAGTCCATGGTACTTTCAATATTCTCCTCCAACACCATAACTCTGCATCAATTCTTCTCCGGTCTTCCTTATTCACTGCCCAACTTTTGTATGCATACGAGGCATTGAAAATATAATGGCTTGGGTCAGGAGTATCAAAACTGATATCTTTGTTCTTCAACTCCTTAAAATGGTCTTGTGCAGCAGATCTGCTTAATGCAATACATCACTTTATTTCTTTCTTGATTGCTGTTTCCATGAGTGTTGATGGTTGATCCGAGCAAAATGAAGTCTTTGACAACTTAAATCTTTTCTCCATTTATATGAATGTTATTAATTGGTCCAGTGGTGAGGATTTTTGTTTTCTTTTCAGTGTTCTAGAATTCTCATACTCCGTAACGTCCATATTTTGCTGTGACCCACACAACTGAAAGCCGTTGTATAGCCAGTAAAGCACAGGTAAACATCTTTCTGGTATTCTTTGCTTCCAGCCAGTATCACTCTGACATCAGCAATGATACCCCTTGTTCCACGTCCCCTTTTGAATCTGGCTTTAACCTCTGTCAATGTATATTTGCAGCCGTTTTTATATTAACATTAAACTATACTCGCATGGGCTGTTGATGATTTCCACACTGTTGGGTCAGCTCTATTTGGAACTGGCACAAATACAGATCTTTTCCATCCCATCAGTTGGCTAAGTAGTTGTCTTCCAAATTTCTTGGCATATATAAGTGAGTGCCTCCAGTTTGCTTTAGATTTCAATTTGTGTTCCATCAATTTCCAGGGACTTGTTCTTTGCCAATGCCTTGAACACACTTCTTCCTTCAGGGTCACGGGCTCTTCAAATGATTTAACACTGACCATTTCTTTTTGGTACAGTGACTCTGTGTATTTCTTCCATCTTCTTTGAATGCTTTCTGCATAATTCAATTATGCGCTCAATACTGCAAGTAGAGGCTTGAATTTTTTCTTAAGCTCCCTCAGTTTGAGAAATGCTGAGCCTGTTCTTCCCTTTCGGTTTTCTAACTCCAGGGCTTTGCACATTTCATAATATTTGACTTTGTCTTCTTGAGCTGACCCTTGAAACTTTCTGCGCAGCTCTCTTATCTCCTAACTTCTTCCATTTGCTTTGGCATCTCTACACTAAAGAGCAAGTTTCAGAGTCTCTTCTGATATCCACTTTGGTCTTTTCTTTCTTTCCAGTCTTTTCAATGATCTTTTACTTTCTTCCTGTATGATGTTCCTGATGTCATCTCCCAACTTTCTGGTCGTTGGTCTTCTAGTGTCTAATGCATCAAACCTGTTCTTCAGATTATATTCAAAGTCCTATTTTGGCTCTCGTGGACTTGTTTTGTCTTCAGCTTCAGCCTGAATTTTCATATGAGCAATTGATGGTCTGTTCCAGTCTGCCCATGGCCTTGTTTTGGATGACAATATGGAGCTTTTCACCATTTCTTTCCACATATACCATCAATTTGATTTTTGTGTATTCTATCTGGTGAGATCCCTGTGTATAGTTGTCTTTCATGTTGTTTATAAAAAGGTATTTGCAATGAAGAAGTCACTGGTCTTGCAAAATTCTATCGTGTGATCTCCAGCATCCTTTCTATCACCAAAGCCTTCTTTTACTTGTCTTGCAGAAACCCGTTCTCAGCCGCCCTGTGGCCCTAACAGACACTAAAAGCAACTCCCATCAAGAGCCTCCACAAACCACTTCTGATAGAGTGCCCTGATAATAGTACCTCATGGAGGGCCGGGTATTTTTGTCACATCCCTCCTGCATCTACCTCATGAGCTCCTTTGGCTGGCAGAAGTCCCTCAGAGGTTTCTTCTCTCCGTGTCCCACACTACACTGTTTGTTTGTTCTTTCTTCTCTTTTTAGTCCCTTGAAATTTTATTCCTTCTATTACCCCGTTTTTGTTTTTCCTTCTTTTCTTTCTCATTTCCCCTATTCTTTTTCCATCATTTTTTCCCCTGATTTTAAGTGTTGCTTTTTTCAATCTTATTTTTCTCTTCTATAGCTCCATTTCCCTGTCCCTCTTTTAAGATGATATATTCTTTTTTTGTTTGCTATCTTTTTTTTCTCCTTGTTTTCTCTTTTCATTGTTGGATGCTTATTCATTCTTCTTTTGTTTTCCTGTGACTCTGGGGACAACCATCATAAGTATTCAGCCCAGCTACAACCATAATCTCTGCAACTCCATCCACTGGGCAAGAGCCAACACCAACTCCTATACCATTTGATCTCTGATAGACAGTAGGCTGCACCAATAAAACCCACCCTAAACTAAGCTGTACGAACAGCCAATAGAAAGTGGCACACAAGCTTTTAGTCAATTCTGAAACTGCACCCACAGGAGAGTTTGTGAGGCTAAAAATACATCAACATACAGTTACCAATTAAATACAAATACAATAACAGCACAGTATCCTAGAGATAACAGACAATTTTACCACACACTTAAAAAGAACAAAGAAAGAACACTTTAGAAGAATCCATGAAAACACAAGAACAGACAGAATAAATTAAAGTTTTCAATCAATACAAAACCTAGAATTTGATTAATACTAAGATTTCAGAACTGGACAATACATTGATAGGGAAAAGGAGTATATTTGAAGCAGTGGAAACCCGAATTAGTGAGTACGAAGATAAATTACTCTGTATTAGTATGCTAGCTGAAGAATCAGAAAAAATAATGAAAAAACCCAAAGACATCTTGTGTTATGTGGGATACAATGAAGAGGAAAAACTTACGGTGGATTGGCATTCCAGAACAGTAAGATACAATTAATTAAAAACAGAAAAATCTCTTAAACACTTGCTGGAAGAAAACTTTTCTAACATGAAAGATGAGAAGATAACCATTTAAGATGTTCAGTGAACCCCTAACAGGATAGACCCCAAAAGAAAACCACCAAGACACAACATAACCAAACTTTTCAAAACCAAACAAAAGGAAAGGATCCTGAGAGCAGCTTGGGAAAAATGAAAAGTTACCTACAAAGGAGAACCAAAAAGACTAAGTAAGCTCTGATTTCTGAATAGAAACCATGCAGGCAAGAAGGGAATGGGATGACATATGCAAAACACTGAAAATAAAAAATTGTCAACCAAGAACATACCCCCAAAAAACAATACCCTAAATACATGGGCAAAATTAGGACATTTTCTGATAAACAGAAATTAAAGGAATTTGTAATGACCAGACCAACTTTACAATATTATACATGACAACAACACCCAAAACTCAATTCAAATAAAGAAACAGTTAAAGAATTAACCTACAAGACTGAAAAATGAATCAGAGATATAAATTTATAATGGAGTCAACTATAAAGCAAAAACTGAGAGTAGTGTAGATACAGAACTTTCAAATGGCTAGGAAGTCAAGAACAGGATAAAACAGACTGTTTTAAATGGGGGGAAAAATAAATGACAGGGTAGCCCCAAAGAATATTAATATACCTTCACACCAAAATTTTTTAAAAAGAGGAAAATCAAAAAGATTTAGTAAACGTGTTAACACACAACAGAAATGAAAATGAAAAGTAAACCACAAGCAAAATGATTAACTCAGCTATAGAAAATTATGTGGAACAAAGAAACCTGTAGGATCACAAAAAAATACTCAGCACAACAATCATTTCGTATCCATTGATAACTATACTGAATTTAAATATATTAAAATGCACCAGTCAAGAGAGAGAGAGAAGAGAATGCATTAAAAACACAATCCTCCAGTATGTTGTCTATATGAGACATTATCAGCAAGATGGAAACAGCATAAATGCCCGTCAAGAGAAGAATGGCTAAAGTAAACTTTGGTACAGTCACACAATAGAAGTATCACCCAGAGTTGAAGAATAAGCATGAATGTGAAAAGCACCTCCCAACATACATGAAGCTGAAGAATTTTATCCTGTGAAATTGGTCAATCACAAAATGACATTTATTTAAATGAGACCACTGTTAAAGACTGGTGAGATGGTGGTCTAGGTAGATGCACTACATTGACTCGCTACAATAAAGCATGTGAAACCAAATAAAACGGACACGGATAAAAATTATGGCACCCTGACTTCAGAAAAACGGTTAGAGAGGTGGCTGATGTGCTGGCTGGGCGAGTGAGAGAGGGAAACTGACTGGTGAATGGCTGACAAATAGAGTTGGACCATATTGTGAGCAGTTTGGACAGCAGAGGTGAGCCTTGAGCAGATTCGAGCAGGCAACTGAATAGCTGCAATTTCTTCTTTCTTCATGCTCCCCTGGTGACCAGATGTGTAGCAATCTCCCTCCCTCATTCACTCTCAGTGCAGACCCTGCACTACAGGCATTTGAAACCACATGGCTGGGAGTCGTGTTTGTCAGTTGGGGGAAAGTTGTGGCACTTTGGTACCTGGATTAAGGCAGGCTCGACTCCAGACCAATAAAACCCACAGAGCCACCAACCCAGCAATTTAACCAGTCACCCTGCCCACAACTCCATCAAGAGCTGCCATGCACTACTTCCAGATTTAGAACCCTGAATATAAATAACATTCAGGCCAATAGGAACTCAATCTAGGACCAGAACTCTGCTGTCACATTCTTCTCACCGTCACTCTGTGACCTTCTTGAATTGCAGGAGCACTCTAGAGATTTCTCCCTTTAGGGTCCCATTAACAGCACTGCCTGTTTACTTTAGAATTCCTCTCTTGGTATCCAGCCTCTGCCCTTGCCTAGTCAAAACAGCCACCCCTTTGGAGGCATGCGAATTCTGCTACGTAAGATCTTCTTCTGTAGTTGCTTTTGTTTGGGAGACAGCAATTGTGCCCATATGGGCCTGTCACATCCTTAAGTTTTGTGGTTCCATTCAACAGGCAAGTGCCACTGACCAAGGATAATCAGTACCCTACACATCAGACAGACTCGCCTTGAACTACACTATACAAAGCACACACATTTCAGCTATCTATCAAACTCATCAGAGTCCTGGTGTGGCACTGTGGGTTAATGCGCCAGACTGCAAAGCTGTTTGAACTGCAAGTTTGGTGGTTCAAGCTCACCAGCTGCTCCTCGGAAACCCTATACAGGATTGCTATGGGTGGGAATCGACTTGATGGCACTTAACAACATCATACTCATCAGGACACAGAGAGTGAGTGCCTGAGAACACAACAACATATAACCATCAATTAAATATAGATATAGTAATTCCTGGTGTGAAACCATATGATAAACACTCGACCTCAAGGCTGCTCTAAACCGCAGGTTGGCAGTTCAAACTTGCCAGCCACTCCTCAGAAACCCTATGCAGAGTCACTCTGAGTCTAAGTCAAACTGACAGCACTTCAAAAAACAACCACCTCTAAAGTGTTCAAGAGTAAAAGTTATCAATTTTAAGAACTAAAGTGTACCTAACTCAAGCCATGGCGTTTTCAATAGTCTTATATACTTGTGAATCTAAGACAATAAATGAGTAAGACTACAGAACAATTAAGGAGATCTGGTAGCGTATTGGTTAGGAATTGGGCTCCTAACCTCAGGGTCAGCAGCTCAAAACTACCAGCTGTTCCGCCAGAGAGAGATGAGGCTTTCTGCTCCCATAAGGAGTTACAGCCTCGGAAACCCTGTGCAGGGTCCTTGTGAGTTGGAAGCGACTCCACAGCACATTAACAACAACATAGAAGAATTGATGTGTTTGAGTTATGGTGCTGGAAAGAATATCAAAAGTACCATGAACTGCTAAAAGAACAAATAAATTGTGTTAGAAGTATGGCCAGAACACTCCTTAAAAGCCAGGATGGCGAAATGATGTCTCTTGTTCTTCAGACATGCTATCAAGTTGGACTAGTCTCTGGAGAAGGACAGCATGCTTGGTAAAACAGAGGGTAAGCAAAAAAGGAGAAGACCGCTGATGGATGGACTGGTAGAGTGGCAGCACTAATGGGCTCCAGTGTAGTAATTGTGAAGACGGCACAGGACCAGGCAGTGTTTCGATCTGTTGTACACAGGGTCGCTATGATTGTAGCTGAATCATGGCAACTACCAACAACAAAACATCCTTCCAAAGTGGTCTCCCCATGCCCAGAGAAGCAGAACTAAAGTAGTGTTCACTGTGTTAAATGTGAGGGTGACACAGGACCGGTCAATGTTTCCTAATGTTGTATATAGGGGAGCTATGAATTGGAACTGGCTAGACAGCATCTAACAACAAATTTTCCTGATAACCCCACACACACTGTGAACATGAGGTCTGTTTTCTGTGTGGCCATTGCAAACGAACTACTGAACTCAGCCAGAGTGGAGAGTACTGTGGGAGGATGGATTGCTGCTATACATTTGGTAACCTAATAGAGTTTGGCAGCAGAAACTCAGAAACCCTGAGTTGGACTTTTAAGCTTTGTGTTACAGCAGCAGTGGAAAACTAAGACAATCCCCAATCAAACTAAATCAAAGCCAATGCCATTTAATTGATTCTGACACATAACACCCTACAGGACAGAGAACTACTCTCAAGGATTTCCAAGACTGGATACAGGAGTTAAGACTCCTGGTGTGGTGCTGTAGGGTCAACACTGGCCTTCAAAACACAAGGTCTGCAGTTCAAACCCACCAGCTACTCCTCGGAAAGCCTACTCAGAATTGCTCTGAGTATAAATCAACTTGATGGCACTTAATAACAAGACAGAAGCAAATACTCTCACCTTTCTCCCACTGAGCAGGTTACGGATTAGAAATGCTGACCTTGAGGGTAAGCCAAATGCTTAACCCACCAAGACATCACGGGGTTCCTTAACTAACATTCACTCAAATATGAACAGCATAAGCAAATGATACTTCATTAATGCTATTTCCATTTACTTAAAAAAATTCCTTGAAGCACAAAAAGGTCAGTATACAGGGAAAACTCACCAAAAGTCCTTCATTATCCAAACTGGACAGTATCTTGGAACAAAGCTCCTCACAACACAAATTCTCTTCTGCAGTTGCGACTAAAGCAGCACAGCGTGCAAATGCTCGATATAATTCTGACCAAGTTCTAAGTAAAACCTTCATGGTGGCCTAACAGCAACAATAAAAACGAAATGTTAAAAAAGAAAAAAAAGAACAACAGAATACATCATTAACATTTTTTAAACACTATGATATTAGGAGTCCTGGTGTGGCACTTTGGGTTAATGCTCTGGACTGCAAAGAGGGTTTGAACTACAAATTCAGCAGTTCAAGTTCACCAGCTGCTCCTCAGAAACCCTATACAGGGTTGCTATGGGTCAGAAGCTTCTCAATGGCACTAACAAGAAGAAACTAGAGTGATCATCATTCCCAAAGCGGTTCTGACTTAAAGATCACAGTTACCAAATAGGTCAAAAGGAACACCACTTTTTCTTCACCATTTTTCTATCCCTAAATCAGTAAGATGGGACTCCTGGTGTGACACTGTAGGATTGACACTGGACTGAAAACCATAAGGCCAGCTAGCAGTTCAAAGCCGGCTCCTTGGAAGCTCTATAAATGGTCACTGAGTTGGAATCGACTTAATACCATCCCTTAATAACAACAAACCAGCAAGACAACTCAGTAATAAAGAATTCCCCTTTTATTTCCACCCCCTCCACACAAAGGGTAGACAGGATGGGCAACTTGGACATTTGCTACCCAAAATGGGGGGAGGGATACAAAGGCAAGAAGTGACTG